AACCACATCACTTGAAGACTACCAACATAAACAACTAAAATGGATGCACATGGAACTCAAAGAGAAAAACCACATAATCTTGGTAAGACTATAAACTAGAGATGAGTGGAACAGAAACCACATCAACTGAAAACCAACAGCAGCAACAACTAAAATGGACATGGAACTCAAAAGAAAATAATCAGATAATCCTGGTATAGAAGTTCCACATAAACTAGAGATGAGTGGAACAGAAACCACATCACTTGAAGACTACCAACAGCAGCAACAACTAAAATGGATAGCACATGGAACTCAAAGAGAAAATAATCGTATAATCCTGGTATAGAAGTTCCACATAAACTAGAGATGAGTGGAACAGAAACCACATCACTTGAAGACTACCAACAGCAGCAACAACTAAAATGGATAGCACATGGAACTCAAAGAGAAAATAATCGTATAATCCTGGTATAGAAGTTCCACATAAACTAGAGATGAGTGGAACAGAAACCACATCACTTGAAGACTACCAACAGCAGCAACAACTAAAATGGATAGCACATGGAACTCAAAGAGAAAATAATCGTATAATCCTGGTATAGAAGTTCCACATAAACTAGAGATGAGTGGAACAGAAACCACATCACTTGAAGACTACCAACAGCAGCAACAACTAAAATGGATAGCACATGGAACTCAAAGAGAAAATAATCGTATAATCCTGGTATAGAAGTTCCACATAAACTAGAGATGAGTGGAACAGAAACCACATCACTTGAAGACTACCAACAGCAACAACAAATAAAACATGGATAGTTATAACATGGAACTCAAAGAGAAAATAATCGTCATAATCCTGGTATAGAAGTTCCACATAAACTCAAAAGAGATCGTATAAGTATAGAACAGAAACCAGATCACTTGAAGACTACCAACAGCAACAACTAAAATGGAACAGAAACAACTAGAATGAGTGGAAAATCACATGGAACTCAAAGAAAATAATGGATAATCCTGGTATAGAAGTTCCACATAAACTAACAAGTGGAACAGAAACCACATCAAATGAAGACTAGCAACAACTAAAATGGAAAATGGATACATGGAACTCAAAGAGAAAATAATCGTATAATCCTGGTATAGAAGTTCCACATAAACTAGAGATGAGTGGAACAGAAACCACATCACTTGAAGACTACCAACAGCAGCAACAACTAAAATGGATAGCACATGGAACTCAAAGAGAAAATAATCGTATAATCCTGGTATAGAAGTTCCACATAAACTAGAGATGAGTGGAACAGAAACCACATCACTTGAAGACTACCAACAGCAGCAACAACTAAAATGGATAGCACATGGAACTCAAAGAGAAAAAATAATCGTATAATCCTGGTATAGAAGTTCCACATAAACTAGAGATGAGTGGAACAGAAACCACATCACTTGAAGACTACCAACAGCAGCAACAACTAAAATGGATAGCACATGGAACTCAAAGAGAAAATAATCGTATAATCCTGGTATAGAAGTTCCACATAAACTAGAGATGAGTGGAACAGAAACCACATCACTTGAAGACTACCAACAGCAGCAACAACTAAAATAAAATGGAATAAAAAAATCATTATAATCCATGGAACTCAAAGAGAAAATAACAGCAGCAACAACTAAAATGGATAGCACATAATCTCAAAGAGAAAATAATCGTATAATCTGGTATAGAAGTTCCACATAAACTAGAGATGAGTGGAACAGAAACCACATCACTTGAAGACTACCAACAGCAGCAACAACTAAAATGGATAGCACATGGAACTCAAAGAGAAAATAATCGTATAATCCTGGTATAGAAGTTCCACATAAACTAGAGATGAGTGGAACAGAAACCACATCACTTGAAGACTACCAACAGCAGCAACAACTAAAATGGATAGCACATGGAACTCAAAGAGAAAATAATCGTATAATCCTGGTATAGAAGTTCCACATAAACTAGAGATGAGTGGAACAGAAACCACATCACTTGAAGACTACCAACAGCAGCAACAATCCTGGTATAAAAAATGGATAGCACATGGAACTCAAAGAGAAAATAATCGTATAATCCTGGTATAGAAGTTCCACATAAACTAGAGATGAGTGGAACAGAAACCACATCACTTGAAGACTACCAACAGCAGCAACAACTAAAATGGATAGCACATGGAACTCAAAAGAGAAAATAATCGTATAATCCTGGTATAGAAGTTCCACATAAACTAGAGATGAGTGGAACAGAAACCACATCACTTGAAGACTACCAACAGCAGCAACAACTAAAATGGATAGCACATGGAACTCAAAGAGAAAATAATCGTATAATCCTGGTATAGAAGTTCCACATAAACTAGAGATGAGTGGAACAGAAACCACATCACTTGAAGACTACCAACAGCAGCAACAACTAAAATGGATAGCACATGGAACTCAAAGAGAAAATAATCGTATAATCCTGGTATAGAAGTTCCACATAAACTAGAGAGAGTGGAACAGAAACCACATCACTTGAAGACTACCAACAGCAGCAACAACTAAAATGGATAGCACATGGAACTCAAAGAGAAAATAATCGTATAATCCTGGTATAGAAGTTCCACATAAACTAGAGATGAGTGGAACAGAAACCACATCACTTGAAGACTACCAACAGCAGCAACAACTAAAATGGATAGCACATGGAACTCAAAGAGAAAATAATAATCTTGGTATAGAAGTTCCACATAAACTAGAGATGAGTGGAACAGAAATAATCCTGAAGACTACCAACAGCAGCAACAACTAAAATGGATTCCATATGGAACTCAAAAGAAAATAATAAACTAGAGATAAACTAGAGATGAGGAACAGAAACCACATCACTTGAAGACTACCAACAGCAGCAACAACTAAAATGGATAAATGGAACTCAAAGAGAAAATAATAATCGTATAATCCTGGTATAGAAGTTCCACATAAACTAGAGAGTGGAACAGAAACCACATCACTTGAAGACTACCAACAGCAGCAACAACTAAAAATGGATAGCACATGGAACTCAAAGAGAAAATAATCGTATAATCCTGGTATAGAAGTTCCACATAAACTAGAGATGAGTGGAACAGAAACCACATCACTTGAAGACTACCAACAGCAGCAACAACTAAAATGGATAGCACATGGAACTCAAAAGAGAAAATAATCGTATAATCCTGGTATGGAACATAAACTAGAGAAGTGGAACAGAAACCACATCACTTGAAGACTACCAACAGCAGCAACAACTAAAATGGATAGCACATGGAACTCAAAGAGAAAATAATCGTATAATCCTGGAAGTTCCACATAAACTAGAGATGAGTGGAACAGAAACCACATCACTTGAAGACTACCAACAGCAGCAACAACTAAAATGGATAGCACATGGAACTCAAAAGAGAAAATAATCGTATAATCCTGGTATAGAAGTTCCACATAAACTAGAGATGAGTGGAACAGAAACCACATCACTTGAAGACTACCAACAGCAGCAACAACTAAAATGGATAGCACATGGAACTCAAAGAGAAAATAATCGTATAATCCTGGTATAGAAGTTCCACATAAACTAGAGATGAGTGGAACAGAAACCACATCACTTGAAGACTACCAACAGCAGCAACAACTAAAATGGATAGCACATGGAACTCAAAGAGAAAATAATCGTATAATCCTGGTATAGAAGTTCCACATAAACTAGAGATGAGTGGAACAGAAACCACATCACTTGAAGACTACCAACAGCAGCAACAACTAAAATGGATAGCACATGGAACTCAAAGAGAAAATAATCGTATAATCCTGGTATAGAAGTTCCACATAAACTAGAGATGAGTGGAACAGAAACCACATCACTTGAAGACTACCAACAGCAGCAACAACTAAAATGGATAGCACATGGAACTCAAAGAGAAAATAATCGTATAATCCTGGTATAGAAGTTCCACATAAACTAGAGATGAGTGGAACAGAAACCACATCACTTGAAGACTACCAACAGCAGCAACAACTAAAATGGATAGCACATGGAACTCAAAGAGAAAATAATCGTATAATCCTGGTATAGAAGTTCCATAGAGATAAACTAGAGATGAGTGGAACAGAAACCACATCACTTGAAGACTACCAACAGCAGCAACAACTAAAATGGATAGCACATGGAACTCAAAGAGAAAATAATCGTATAATCCTGGTATAGAAGTTCCACATAAACTAGAGATGAGTGGAACAGAAACCACATCACTTGAAGACTACCAACAGCAGCAACAACTAAAATGGATAGAAACTCAAAGAGAATGGAACTCCTGGTATAGAAGTTCCACATAAACTAGAGATGAGTGGAACAGAAACCACATCACTTGAAGACTACCAACAGCAGCAACAACTAAAATGGATAGCACATGGAACTCAAAGAGAAAATAATGGTATAATCCTGGTATAGAAGTTCCACATAAACTAGAGATGAGTGGAACAGAAACCACATCACTTGAAGACTACCAACAGCAGCAACAACTAAAATGGATAGCACATGGAACTCAAAGAGAAAATAATCGTATAATCCTGGTATAGAAGTTCCACATAAACTAGAGATGAGTGGAACAGAAACCACATCACTTGAAGACTACCAACAGCAGCAACAACTAAAATGGATAGCACATGGAACTCAAAGAGAAAATAATCAGATAATAACAACAGAAACCAGTTCCAGCAAAATGGATGGAACAAAGAAACCACCTCACTTGATGGACTCCACTAAACTAGAGCAGCAACAACTATCACTTGAAATGGATAAATGGAACTCAAAGAGAAAATAATCGTATAATCCTGGTATAGAAGTTCTACATAAACTAGAGATGAGTGGAACAGAAACCACATCACTTGAAGACTACCAACAGCAGCAACAACTAAAATGGATAGCACATGGAACTCAAAGAGAAAATAATCGTATAATCCATAAACTAATGTATAGAAGTTCTACATAAACTAGAGATGAGTGGAACAGAAACCACATCACTTGAAGACTACCAACAGCAGCAACAACTAAAATGGATAGCACATGGAACTCAAAGAGAAAATAATCGTATAATCCTGGTATAGAAGTTCCACATAAACTAGAGATGAGTGGAACAGAAACCACATCACTTGAAGACTACCAACAGCAGCAACAACTAAAATGGATAGCACATGGAACTCAAAGAGAAAATAATCGTATAATCCTGGTATAGAAGTTCTACATAAACTAGAGATGAGTGGAACAGAAACCACATCACTTGAAGACTACCAACAGCAGCAACAACTAAAATGGATAGCACATGGAACTCAAAGAGAAAATAATCGTATAATCCTGGTATAGAAGTTCTACATAAACTAGAGATGAGTGGAACAGAAACCACATCACTTGAAGACTACCAACAGCAGCAACAACTAAAATGGATAGCACATGGAACTCAAAGAGAAAATAATCGTATAATCCTGGTATAGAAGTTCTACATAAACTAGAGATGAGGAACAGAAACCACATCACTTGAAGACTACCAACAGCAGCAACAACTAAAATGGATAGCACATGGAACTCAAAGAGAAAATGGATAGCACATGGAATAATCCTGGTATAGAAGTTCCACATAAACTAGAGATGAGTGGAACAGAAACCACATCACTTGAAGACTACCAACAGCAGCAACAACTAAAATGGATAGCACATGGAACTCAAAGAGAAAATAAATAATCCTGGTATAGAATAATAAACTAGAGATGAGTGGAACACCATCACTTGAAGACTTCAACAGCAGCAACAACTAAAATGGATAGCACATGGAACTCAAAGAGAAAATAATCGTATAATCCTGGTATAAATACATAAACTAGAGATGAGTGGAACAGAAACCACATCACTTGAAGACTTGGCAACAACTAAAAATGGATAGCACATGGAAAAAGAGAAAAAATTTAGAAGTTCTACATAAACTAGAGAAAACCACAATAATCCCAAAAGAGAAAGGAATGAAACCAAAGCAACAAAAATATGAAACTTTGGATGAACAAAGAATGGACTCACTTGAAGGGATAGTTTCACCTAAACCACAAGTTGCTATGGAACTCAAAGAGAAAACCTGAAAACTTAGAGTTATGTTCTTAAATGGGCTGGTTAGAAAAATTGAGACATTTATAAGAAACCAGAGAGTTGGAACATTCATGAGTTATGCAAAATTATTCAGAAAGACCTAGACTGGACTATGGAACATAAAACCGCCTTGATTGTTTAAAATGGTTTCAAGAAAATCCTTCCTTGAACCTCGTTGTTGGATAGCACATGGCACCAAAAGAATCCCAAACAATGAACTGTAGGAAATAACAGAAACCACATCACTTGAAGACTACCAACAGCAGCAACAACTAAAATGGATGGCACATGGAACTCAAAGAGAAAATAATGACCTAATCAAGATGTTGTAATTCCACACGACTTCAAACAAAAGGTTAGGAAGAAACCCATCCCCATCAATACTGGAAAGAGCAATAACAGCTACTGGACTTGAGAAACCTTTTTTCCTGAACAATTGTTTTAAGAGAAATATTTTATAAATTCTTAATAGTGGCTATCTATCTATCTATCTATCTATCTATCTATCTATCTATCTATCTATCTCAGTCTGTTCATTATCTATTTCGGTTTGTTTATTATCTATCTATCTATCTATCTATCTATCTATCTATCTATTGTGGGGACCTACCCACAAATAGACTCTTCCACATCTATATAATATGGCTACCAATTCTTAGTAAATACCGTTACCAAGTGAGGGTCACCCACTAGTAGCCATAGAGTGAGTGAGTGAGTGAGTTAGGACACCAGTGAGAGAAAGTACTCTCCAGTCCACATTTACCTTCTATTACGTTTCCAAGAATATACTATTTAACCTTGTATCCGAGTCCGTGTTATCTTTCTATGGTTCCACATCATAACACTATCCTAGTCTCTTCTGATCTCTTTATTTTTCAAGATGTTAACATTCTGCATGACTTCAAATAAAAGGAAGATCCTTTGTTTGGATTTTGTCAAGAAACCCGAAATGGGTAGCAAGAACAGCTGACCAGATATGGTAACATTATTCCATGCACGGGTGAAATATAGATTTGTAAATGTGCAAAATGAACTCTGAAAAGAAAGGCACGACACAGGGACCCAACTTTCCTTGCAGTAGATGCAGCTATTGATTCGCTTCAATTCAAGCCTGCTGAAAATATAAGTAGCATATCTTTCAAGTTCTTTAATCAATTACTTGAAAATAATTTTAGAAAAAAATCTAACGGGGTACGTCTGCACGTAGTTTTGTTTTTTTAAATCACCATCACAAGAGAATGCAGATTCTATCGCAGTTACAATATCTTTGTAAATTACCGCTGAAGATGATCTTGGAAAAGATCGAAGGTACTTGGGTTAGAAAAATACTAAGCCGCTTTCATTGTTAATTTGTATCTTAACATCAAGATACTGATTAGAGAACTGTAAATCATCAATATAAAAATAGATAGACACACGATGTCTATATTATTCAATTAAACATCTATATATATATATATATATATATATATATATATATATATATATATAATATAAAAGGCTTAAACATTAATATTCCATGGTTATAATTTAATACATTGGAATATTAATCATGATCCAAATCATCAGACCTACAAATTCAAATTTTGAATTTGTATGTCTGATGATTTGGATCGTGATTAAGATTCCAATGTAATAAATTATAACCATAGAATATTAATGTTTAAGCCTTTTATATTGTATTCATACTCTGTCCTGCACATTGAGTTCTACATGCATTCTATACACTTTGGAATTTATTATATATATATATATATATATGTGTGTGTGTGTGTGTGTGTGTGTGTGTAGACATATATTCTTAAGATATATTTATGGGATAAAGTGCATAATATCAGTGATAGAGCGTGTGTAAATATACAAGTGAACATAGAGGCAAAGTCAACACTTAGACGCAATCGTCAGGTCTGACGATTTTCTCGGCTATGTTGACTTTATGTCTAACATATATATATATATATATATATATATATATTGACCACTAATATTATCAATATATATATATATATATATATATATATGGAACATTTAGAATTAGCCTGTAGAAAAGACAATATGCGGTAGACTGGTTACCAACAAAGGCTTAATCCCTTCATATTCTTAATTTTATTATTATTATTATTATTATTATTATTTTCTTAATTTCAGAAATGGCTGCATGACAAAAAATACAATAAAAATAAGACAGATAAATCTCTTCGCAGTGTGTGAGCTGTGCTTGTGAGTACAATTTTTTGTATTTCTTTACGTCATGAGCCACCAGGAATCCCTTCGGTGAGTCTATCGGGACCTTTTCCAATTAATCGGAGGGCTCTAAGTACAACTGAAATAATAAATGACCAAGATTTTTTAAATTTCCACTTCAAGATCCTGGTATTTTCATAGTTATTTGAAGATCTTAAAAGATAAATTACAGAGACAGACATGTCAATAAGAAAAAAACATTCTGTCCTTGTCATCTTTGCTCAGGATAGCTGGACAATTTGCTTTTATTATTCCGTCTGAGTGTATAGTAAACTCCCAAAAAATTATTACAATTCTTATTTCTGTAGCCAGATCTGTGCGGTGTTCATCCCAATTGATATAGTTTTCTTCCCGTAATTTTGGCAGATTTTTCCAATGCAAATGTTATTATTATTATTGTTATTTTATTTCCGTTGACATCCGGTGTATACTCATTTCTTTCCGGGTCCCAAACATGTTCCAATTCTTATATTTATCCTATCATTACCAGGACACCTTGACGTGATGTAATGGTTAGAAAGGTTTTCTTGCTAGATCAATTACGACTGAGTAGTGAATTGGATCCACACTGGGAGCCCCATACTGTCGGCCTTGTGCCACATCTAAGCCGGTTTTAGAAAACCACTAGGACACCTGGACGTGGTGTAATGGTTAGAAAGCTTGTCCTCCGTGATCAATTATGATTGAGTTCGATCCACACTGGGAGCCCCATACTTTCGGCCTTGTGCCACATCTAAGCTTTGCCTAGAAAATCCCTATCCTATCATTACCAATACTATTTTAATGTATCTTTTGCTTAAGCTGTTATAATTGAGGATACACAAACTAAGGTCATTTTAAACTCGGCTTCAAATCGACTGAGACAGGTCAGGCTGTATGACGGTTCCGTGTAGGATACAGGTTCGATTCCATGCAGAGGACACGTATTTTCTATGAAATTTCTCGGACATTCAGGTCGGTAAATTTTGTTAATACTGTTTATTATAAACAAAACATTTACTTAAATATTTCTGTCTATATAAATAACGTATAACAACAAATATATTCAAATAATTATTGGAATACAAATAAATTTTCTTTTTCTTTTCAATCACTCCAGTTATTATTATTATTTGAAATAATATATGTTAAATTTTCAAAATGCATTGTTTATAATGTAATTATAGAATAGAATAATTACTGTTGCATTGGCGGCCATAATTGGTTGTGTTACGTGTTATGCTGACAGCAGTAAATTTATTTTTTCACTAAAATATTTTCTTTCGTTGAATTGAAAATGGTTGCTGTGAAAATAATTTTGTTCCCGTAAAATATGGCTGCTCATTCAAAGATGGCTACTGATTTTTCTAATTGTATTAACAAATGTCTGACAATTGTATAGGGTGACCCAAAAAAACGGGAACTTTTTAACAATCCAATAACACCAAGAGTGATGGAAGAAAAATATTTTATTCATAGTAATTGAAACCTTAAAACATGCCATTTAAGAAACAATGATGGAATTTTCATTTTTTAAAAATTACGTCCTGTAGATGGCGTCCTCCTGTACGAATGCATTCTTGAAATCTGCTGTTGAGATTCCTCATCGACTGCTGCAACATCTCAGCTGGGATACTGTAAATTTCATCTTGAATTCTCTCTTTTAACGCATCTGGAGTTCTTGATCGAGTTGTGTAAACACAGTATCAACCATCTGAAGAAGGCCGGAGCGTACAACGGTCGAAACGTTGTAATAAATATGGCGACAAAGATGGGGAAAATAGTCCGAATAATGTAAATAGTGAACTCTCATGTTATCGTTTAATCGGGACAGTCACTTCATTACAAATCGAATATAATTTGCTCAAAAGCTCTATTTCGAGCAATTAATTTCTAATCTTTTTAACAGTAATTTTAACCCCGTATAAGGCCCAAGAACCTCTCGAGGTAGAGGGGTAAACATATGGTGAATGGGGATATGTGGGGAAGGTCACGTTTAACCTTTGAACAGGTTAAGATTTTAGTGATAGAAAAAGCATCCTTGGGAGTCGGTTCGCCATTTGTAATTCCGCCATGGCGCATGTGCGAGACTTTAAAAAAAATTGTTGGTGATTTGCATGCGCAAGTATCTTGGTTGTTACACTCCTGATCAAAAATTTAAGATCACTTGAATTTTTTTTTAAAATGACTGTTTTTCACGGAAAAATTGTAAACCTTTCTTACAAGGTTACTAATTTTATAATCTAAAAGGTTATGTAAACAAAAAGTTATAATCCGAACATTTTATTGAAAAATTGACATTTTTATAAAATGAGGCGTTTTACACTTGATCAAAATTATAAGACCAGGGACAAAAATTTTACGAAATTGTACGAAAAGTTTACGAAAACATTCAACAACCAAATTTAATAATGAGTTCTAACTCCACTGGTTTTGATGACTTCAAAAATTCTTTGGGGAATGCTAGAAATTAGTGTTTTCATTAAGCTGCGAGGAATATTGCTCCAGCTTCTCTTGAATATTGTTTGCCATTTCGATAAACATCTCTTGCCATCCATCCCCAAACATTTTCAATTGGGTTCAAGTCCGGTGAGCATGCAGGATGTCTCAAGAGATGGACCCCATTTCCTTGTAGAAAGGTCAAGGTCGGGCATGCAGAGTGGATTGCAGCATTATCCGGTTAGAATAACCATCCACCCCCACACAAACGATGGCCCAGTGGATTGATAGCGCAGTGGATTGATAGCGGAGAGACGTGTGCTGGGATTTCTTGATATTGAACGTACGATTCTTGATTGCAAGATTTCCATCTGAATCCCCCGTCTTGGATTTTACAATGTTTTTGATTATCAAACAATTTGTCTTGCTATGAACCTGGATTTTATTGTATTTTAACTGTTAAACAGTTTGTCTTGCTTTGAACTTCAAATCAAATACAGTTCCACAAAGCATTAATTCGTATGAAGCTGCTGCTAGAGTGAAACTTAATTCTCACCAATATAATATAAAGGGAATGTGGGTGGCATTGTGGATCTTGTCTATGAATGTCAGAACTGGTGAAACTAAGGAATATAGTTCGTCTGAACATTTTCCATGGAAATAGCTATAGAGCAGCGAGAGGCTTGTGATGTTTGGTTTGTAGGAATGTGTTTTAGGGTGGAAATAATTCATCAACAATAAGAACGCTGAAAGGCTCTTGGACTCTATCGAGACTGAAAAGTGAAGACTGGACAGCTCCTGCACATCTATAGCAGCAGTACTTCATTTTCGTCATTATCTGACACTTAGAGAGGTAAAGAAGGTAGCGGGACGTGTCAAGTACTGACTGGAGCAGTACAACGAACCGATCATTCTTACAGCGTCTTCAGCGATCGATCGTATGTACAGGTTGCACTTAACGTCTCGGTTGAGCTTAACTCCCAATGGACGCTCAAAGCACGTAATCGGCCTCCCTGAGACAACGCCCGTTCATCGCGACATGAAAATACAGGAACCGATCATGATGATAGAATGTTACTAGTTTGATTTTCGGGATATTGAATGTTGATTGATTCTTTTTTTTTTACCGTTTATCAGCCCTTTTCCTGTTATTTAAAGCCAGAAAATATTTTTAGATTGTAAAAATTTTTTTTTTTTTTTTTTTTTAGATTATAACTGTTGTGGAGTAGCTGAACACCCCCACAAGAAGCACTGGTCTAAGACTATTTAAACAGCACTCTCTCTTACTGAGGGAGAGGAGTTAACGATTACAGTTAATTCCGTTTGTCGACTTTTTTCCTCTGGGCGGAGAGGAACCCAGACGAGGCTATGCCGAAGGGCAGAATGTCGTCTGTGGAGGTAGACCATCGTATACGGGGTCTACGGGCTCGGAGCGCCCCACGTAAAAAACTGGCCTTGTGCCACATACCGCCTTTTGGGTAGATCTCGGGTAAATAACGAGGAGTTAACGAGTAATTGTTTATTACCTTTGCCTAAGTTCTCAACCGCGTAAAATATTATCCTCCGAAATAAACTACTTCTTATTTTCTATGTGTGTGAACCTTTCCGCTTTACGGCACAACAATAATGATTAGTTCAACGAGGGAGTGTTGGTGTTGCTGCTGCTGTTGTGGTGTTGACCTACCTCGGGTTATTCTTTCCTCATTAATTATAGAGATCTTATTCCAATCCCGAAGACCAGAGAGGAGTTTGTTTTTTTTTTTTGTTTTGTTTTTTTCCTTTCCAGTGTTTTTTTTCTTTTTCCTTTCTACAGCTGATCAACTCTTTGCAGGTTATTTAAAGCCAGAAAATATTGTAAGAATTTTGGGGTAGATAATAATGGTTTCAATGATACAAGTCTTACTAATTAACCCATAGGTGGGGGAGACGAGGCGGAGTCATATCTTTCCCAGGGGTATTTGCGCTGTTGAAGCTTGGATAAGCATGGAATAATAATAATACAACACAAAATGTACGTAAACAAAATGTATTGAAACAAGGAAAAGGTACACAATATTTACAGTTAGTTTTGGTATATTCTTGGGAAGACTGTTCCTGTAGAATGGGTTGACTTAATCGCAGTCAGGCAGAGTCTCTGGATTGGATCTCTTCTTACTCCCCTCGTCTTCCCGGTAGCAACCCATATTTATATGGTCGGTACTCCACTATGTAAATTAGCTGGATCGTACCACAACATGCGCGTAAGTGAATATAACCAACCCAACTGGAACTGGAACTCGGCTCTCCGATTAACACGTCCGAGCCTTTATCCATTACACCACCCGCACATCGGAGCTTACAGAATCTGGTATTTCCAAGCGGTCAGTCATCTACCTCGGTATTTGACCAGGCTCGACGTTGCTTAACTTCGGGGATCGTACGAGAACTGGTGTTTCAATATGATATGGCGAAAGTCCTTTATACGACCCGCATATCCAAGCTTACAGCAAATGGTATTTCCAAACGGTCAGCCATCTAGGTACTGACCAGGCTCGATGTTGCTTAACCAGAGATCGTACGAGAACTGGTGTTTCAATATGATATGGCTGTAAGTGAAAAATAACACCTGCACATCCACGCTAACAGCAAATGGTATTCTTAAACAGTCACCCATGTAGGTACTGACCAGACTCGACGTTGCTTAACTTCGGGGATCGTATGAGAACTAGTGTTTCAATATATGGCGGAAAGTCCTTTATACGGCCCGCATATCCAAGCTTACAGAATCTGGTTTTTTCAAGCGGTCAGCCATCTAGGTACTGACCAGGCTCTATGTTGCTTAACTTTGGAGATCATACAGGAACCAATGTATCAATGTGATGTAGCCGTAAGCCGCATTGAATATGACCAGCCAGTTTTCCTCCAATGACCTCTCAGAGGAGAGATCAACTGCCAGGCTCCGGGCATATAGAGTTTGGGAGGTGCACCCATATACCGTTGGATTTGAGCTTTGGTCTGATTGTTCATAGGAGCCTTTGCGTCTTTTGTTCAATTCTACGGATTCTTGGTGATTAAATTCGCATCCATTCGTTGGATTCATTGTGAGTCAGTTCGACTTTGTTAGAGTGCAAAGGGAATCGAACATTCTCAGAAAAAAAAACGTCCTCATGAAGCCTCGCTGCTTTTGACGCAAAGGTTTCCGTTTGTGGCATGAAAGACAAGCAAACGACGACCATCATTCGTTGATCTTACAATATATACAACGTTGTGTCTAATACTGTTGTCCCGCTCGGCTTTTTTTTTTTTTTTTTTTTTTTTTTTTTGGCTTTTTCTTACCTCTTTTCTTATCTCACCTTCCTTCTTGTATGCATATATTTCGAAACTATCTATCTCTCTATCACAATCACATGCACAGATATATCTCTATCTGTCGCCGTCTTTCATTCTCACTCATCCTCTCTTTCGCTCTCTCTTCATCTATCCATCTCTATATCTATCTCAGTCTGTTCATATGTACCACTTATGTAAGATCTATTAATATATATATATAAATATGTATTTGAATGATCATATCTCTCTTTTTCCCTATATATATATATATATATATATATGTGTGTGTGTGTGTGTGTGTGTGTGTGTGTGTGTGTGCACATATTTCGAGCTTTTTCCATCGACCGAATCCCATCTGTCTGTCTGTATAAATATCTATCTATCTATCTATCTATCTATATATATATATATATATATATATATATATATATATATATATATATAATTATTTATTCGAAAATTATAACATAAATACGTTGTAAATTCAGTAAAAAAATAGCCATTTTATTCCAACACTTCTGGTGTCTTATGAAGTGATGATGTTCTATGTAGAATAAAAGGTTTTAAAAAAGGTTCAAATCAATCAAGCATCCATCCCTATGAGAAACGCTGTTACGTAAGCTGCAATGACATTTTGGGGATTTTGTTAGAACTTGCCTAATTTTATTCTTGGTTATATTTTTCCATTCTTGCACAGGTTTATCCTTCATTCTAACTTGCCCTCATTTGATCCAGTCTACATTGGGATTATATTCCTTTGGGTTGCTCCAAATAGTCTCTCAAAATGCCTGCATTTCTTCAATAGACCCTGTAGAAATTCTTGACGTCCTTTTAGAATATCTTATTTTGTCGATAGAACCTACAACACTTTTCATATCATTCTCTGGGCCTTTAATTGCAGTTATTATTATTATTATTATTATTTGTAGTAGTAGTAGTAGTAGTATTACCGAAACGCTCCTCTGTGGCGAAATCGGTAAAAGCACGTCAGGCTATATGACGGTTCCGTATAGGATACAGGTTCGATTCCTGTCGGAGGACGCATATTTTCTATGAAAATTTCTGATATTCTGATATTCAGGTCGGTAAATGTTGTTAATACTGTTCATTATAATCAGAGCATTTACTTAAATATTTGTATCTATAAAAAAAAAGAACGTATAAACATAAAAAAATGTCTTAAAATAATTGACGGACTTTGTCCATTTCATAATGTGTGAGGTATAAGGTACTCTATAAGGTACTCTATTTACATTATTCGGACTATTGTCAACATCTTTGTCGCCATGACACATGGCACAGTGGATAAAGGCGTTAGCTAGATCCGGTGACAGGACCCAAATAGTGTGAGTTCAATACCCGGTTAAGGCAGTGGAAAACTTTCATAGGGGAATTAACAGGAGATAACTGATAACTGACATCCAGTAAACATGGCACGTGGAACTAGAACAGTCTAACCCAGTGAACGAATTAAAGGGTTCAGTTCGATATTCCAACCACCTGACGAAGGCCGGCGCGTACAGCGGACGAAACGTTGTAATGAATATGGTGACAAAGATGAGGACAATAGTCCGAATAATGTAAATAGTGTACATTTCTGTTGTCTTCGTTTTTCTCTTCATCTTTGAGGAGATTGTCCAATATTAACTGCAACACAATATGATTGATATTACACAAAGTTTCAGCACTCTTTTCTAAGTTTCAAATGAAGTTTCCTGTTTCTTAATAATTTGCTTAGATTTTGAAAGGCATCTTTTGTTAGCGTGTTCGGATCTTCCATCATGTGTTAAAATACTACTCAGATATTTTAAACTTCTGTGCTTATTTGGTGCTGACATCAAGAATTTTTACTTTACATCTTGAGCGTTTTTTTTTTTTTTGTTTTGTTTTGTTTTTTCACTTAATTATACTTTCTGTTTTCTTACAGTTGGTGATTAGTCCTTTCTTCCCGCTTTCCTTCGCTACCTCAGATATCTCGTCTGCCGATTCCAGATCAAATGTGTTCCTCTTTGTTTCTAATGAAATTTTCATGTTTCTTAATACTTTGCTTACTTTCTAAATGGCATCGTTCTCTATTCTAATGAAAAATTTAGGTATTACGCAGCAGTTCAGCACTCTTTTCTTTCTTTCTTTCTTTCTTTCTTTCTAGTAAAATTTTCCTGTTTCTTAATACTTTTAGAAGGCAACTTTTGCTGTTTCAATGAACGTTTTGATTACTATCACATTTTATATAATCTGTTAAAATACTTCTGAGATATTTAAATTATTCTACTTGTTAGATCTTGACACCTCCAATTCTTAGCTCACGCACTTGGCTTTTCGTTTTGCTGTCAACCATTCGTTCTGTCTTCTGATGATTAGTCCTTTCTTCCTACTATCCTTTGCAACCTCAGATATCTCGTTGGTCAATTCAAGATCAAAGTAGCTCCCCTCTCAAAATATACCATCATCCACTCATCGGGTAAAAAATAGAATGTCTCCGTGTAAATTTATGCCGTCAAATACAGTACCTTGACCGCCACCGCCACAGAGATAAGATTTACAAACATTTATTGTTGATTAGAACAACTGAGTCGTGAGTTCAATCCTTACTGAGTACTCTATACTGTGTACTGGTAGCTTTATCACCCCCTCTCCTCTTTCTCTCTTTTTCACGCCCTCTTACTCGCTCTCAGTTCTCTCTCTCTCTCTCATTCACTCTTCATTTTTCTCACTTCATCTTCTTCTTCTTCTTCTTCTTCTTCTTCTCTCTCTCCCTCTCTCTCTCTCTCCCTCCCTCCCTCTCTCTCTCTCTCTCTCTCTCTCTCAGGCTCGGCTCTGCCATCTATTTGCACAAGCTCATTAGATAGGTTTTTTTTTTTTTCCCTCCGCCCCTATCACTCTCTCTGTCTATCTCTCTCTTCCTCATTCTTGGTAAATGCCTTGATACCCCAACAGAGGAGTAATGGTTAACAAGCTTTGCATGCCATTCCTAAAACGTAATGAATTTGATCTTCACTGGTGGCCTCATATTTATAAAAAAATTGTCTTTTTTTTTAATCAATTCACCCCAAGCAAGGCGATAATGCCGCTAAGACTCAAGGAGATAAGAGTGAAAGAAAATGAAAATACTTCAGATGGGATCTGGAAGCCAATCCTAAACAAGAAACAAGGGATAAATCTCTGCTCCTGTTTGAAAACGGGGGAGGTGTATAAACCGGGCGATAGGCGTACGTATTTGCTCCTATTGAGGAAATAGCAAAATAAATAAAATTTCAGATTTTTAGGCGGAAACGTTAGATTTACAGAGTTGAAGTAAACTTTAGAAAAAAACTGGAAACCCAATCTTAAACAGCCTTGTGACTAAGCTTATCCTATTATTATTATTATCTGTGCCCTAACCTTCTAGGACATGAGTTAACATAGCCCTCCACAACTTCCTATCTTGCTTGACCTCTTACTATCCCTTCCGTTTTGCTAAAGCGTCCTCCACACAAAGAATTTACTTGGTCAGTCATTGTGAACACAATGGTTGCACGATACACAAATTCAATCGATAGCGTCTCGCTGCCGACTGAGTAACCCACAGGAGAGTGATCCTGCATGCACAGTAAAATTCCCACAAGAACCCCCTTTGCTGAACAGGCCTCGTAAATCGATCGAGTAGGCAGAAGCTGAGTTTGCTTTTCTTAGAATACAAACCCTTCCTTTTTTTTGTTTATTAAATATAAGTCGTCTTCTATGCGCTGTGTTTCCTGGGTGATCATGGGTCTCCACTACTTCCTATTCTTTTATCCATTTACATAAGCTTGCTGACTTGGTTTCTCGTTGTTTCTGTCTCTCTTGCCTTCAGTATGTCCTGTGTGTGTCAAATTTTCCAAGCCTTCTTTCCTCATTACGTTCAACTGTCTCTTTCTGATTCTAAATATAAATGTCTTTTATTCTTCCATTTCGCTTAAAACATCGCACTGGCTCACATGCTCCGTTCATGGTATTCTCGACACCCATCTGAACAATCCTATGTCTGTTGCCGGAAGTCTTCGGGGGGGGGGGTGTATCCGTACTCACTATACTTGACCAAATACGACTATTTAACCCATATCTGGAATCGATTGGCTTTGTTTCTGATGAGTTAATCTGCTCTTTTAACAGCTGTTTGGGAAGGTTTTGTGCCGCTGGGGTTACAGTTACCCTCCAGCGTCTTGTGTGGGAGCCAGTTTAGTCGCCGACTACTCAGGTTTTGAATGCGGAATTGTCCTTCTCCTAGACCGGTTGCAACCAATGGCTTTAAGACTTAGTCCATCCTTCTATTTATCCATAGCTGGGGGGCAGAAGGCATGGACTCATACTTGTCCCAAGGGCATTTCTACATAAGCGAACGTAACAAACCCAACTGAAATTTGACCTCAGCTCTCTCTCCCCCGATTTCTTGCTATCCATTACTCCACCCTTCGATATGGGATAATTGATATATATATATATATATATATATATATATATATATATATATATATATATAATCATTTCCTCCCAGCAAGGCAGGAATGCCACTAGTACGCAGGAGGTTACAGATAGTGAACATGAGAAAAAGACAGAATAGGGTGGATTGAGGCAAGGATAAAAGATTAACGGGATTCAAGAAGAAAGAAGATGGCGATCGACGTTGCATTTAAATTTTTTGAAAACTGACGTTTTCAGGGAAGCAAGTAAATAGAAGGAATTTCCACAGGCGAGAAGTGTGAGAAAATAAACTGTTGGAGTATACGTGACGGTTACATTTAACTATTTTGAGAGTAAATGGGTGGGACCTAACTGCCAGTCTAGTGGCACACTTAAACTGATGTATTCAGGGAACCAGGGGAAAATAGCTTGTCAGGGCAGTTACCGTGAAAATATTTGTAGAAAAGACAGAGAGAAGGCACCTCACGTCAGTGAGAAAGTGACTGAAGTCGAGATGCCAAGTCAGAATCCATTACATTACAGATTCTTCTTTGGATTTTGTCAAGAATCTCAAGATGAATAGCAAGAGCACCAGACCAGACATAGGAAAACGTTTCAAAGCACTGATTGGTAAATTTGTAAAGAGACGAGAAAAAAAAAACTTCTGGCACGGCACAGTGACCCAATATTCCTTGCAGGAGATGCGGCTATCGATTCAATGTAGTCGTTCCACTTCAAGTCAGTTGAAAACGTGAGGCCAAGGAGACGCAGTGTGTTGCTCTCCAAGAGTCTAGCATCAGCCACACTGATAGTAGACAGGAATGTTTCTCTATGGTGTTTAAAAGACATCAGTTTAGTTTTCTACCCGAGTGAACCACTGATTGGAGGTTCTTTTCAAGAGTAGCTACCAAGTTAAATGACAGCTCTGACGGATTTGATACTGAGAATGGAGTAAATGGTAGTGTCATCTGCATAAATTCCTACTTAGGAACTGATAGCATCAGATGAAGATCAAAAACAGCGTTGGGTCGAGAATAGAGTTTGGGGGGGGACACCCGCGTTCGTGTGAAAGGATCTGGGAGCAGCCCAGTTCAAAACGACCATCATTTCATATTTGATAGTAATGATTGAATTAAATCAAACAATCGTCCTGTAATACCGTAGTCAGGGTCTTACGTAGAAGATAGGCGTGCCAAACCATGTCAAACACCTTGGAGGATATCTAGAGCCACAGCTCGAACTTCGCCTTTATTATCATGGGCTTGATATACATAGTCAGTGATAGCCGTTAGCACGCCAGGAATAGACCTAGCAAAACGGAAACCATAGTGTTTCTCAGGGAGTAGGTCGTGAGAGGTAAGATGCACTTCGGCATTGATAAGCCTCGCTCGAAAAGTTTGTCGAAAAGCGGTAGGAGACTGATAAGGCGATACTTAGAGAGGTCAGAAGATTCTTAAAAACGAACTACAGAGGAGGACTTCCAACAAGCAGGAAGTAGTGAGGCTATAGTTGTAGAGTTTGGCGAGAACTGGAGCCACCTCGGGAGTACATTTCTTTAGGACGACGACTGGGATCCTGTTACCTCCGTTTGCCTTATGGGAGTCTAATTTAGAAATGATGTCTGAAGCCAGTGAAGGGGTTTCGCGCGTATTACTCAGTAGAACCTCTGTTCTAGTGAGAAAAATGTGTTATGGGTAATAAAAATGAGTCGAGTGTTCAGTTGGAAGAGAATTTCCGAGCAAAGAATTCAACCTTATCTGCTGCAGGATTGATTGAATAGAAAAGGGATTGAAAATTTGCTGCTGTTCAGCACACTCTTGCAGAGCCGAAAATAATCTCTAGTACCGAACTTGAGAGATGCTATACGTTGTTTCAGTCTTTCAGCAAACAGTAATTTCGCTCCTTTGATGACACGCTTATACGCATTACGAGCAGATACAAAGAGACGTCTGTTGCAATCAGACGTTTCGCTTTGGCACAGCCGGGAAAAATGACGCGCGAATATAACGAACCCGACTGGAATTCGAACTCGGTTCTCCGATTAACAATTCTGATCCATTATCCATTACACCTCCCGCACATCGAAGCTTACAGCATGCGATATTCCCATCTAGGTACTGACCAGCTTATTTTGTATTTTACTCACTTGTTTCTCTATGTCCCTCTTGCCTGCAATATATCATGTGAGTGTCAAATTTTCCAAACCATCTTTCCTTATTATGCGTCCTAGAATTTTTAAATGTCTCTTTCTGATTTTAATTATAATTGTTCTTTTTGTTACGATTTTTTTAAAAACTTCCACGTCTCCCACATTAGCTTGTTTTTCATTTATATGCTGTGTCCTTTCTGAAATTGGGTGGTCACGGCTCTCCGCGACTTCCTGTCTTTGTAAATGTCTAATTCTTGTTGAATGTGCTAGCGATTTCCGTAATAATCACACGATTGCTAACGTTTGAAACGAGCTTACTTACACAGAAATGGCGACAAAAACGCGGAATTATGACAAAGGAGCGAAAGAAAGAAAATGAAAAAAGAAAAAAAGAAAAGAAACAAAAGAGGGAAGAAAAAAATAAATGAAAGAAAAGAAGGGAAGTGAAATGAAGTAAAGAAATTTCAAAAACAAAAAAAAAAAAACAAGTAAAAAAAAGAAAAGGTCGAGTCAGCTGACACCTACGACTTCCGTTTAGTTTTGGAGAAGCAGCCATATTCGTTCGAAATAACAGCCGACATCAAAGTCATCTTACAGTTTAATAATCTTTTCTTTTCTTTTTTCTTTTTTTTTTTGTGTCTTTTAAGAATGTTTTTTCTTGATTATTATGGGTTGTATTTTATTTTCCTTTGCAGCTGAAGATTCCAGGTGTGTATGTAGGTGGGTCAATATTTTTTTTTACATTACGTTTTTTGGAGTGCAGCCGTTTATCATCATATGTTTGCCTGCATGTAAGTGTTTGTGTCCGATCGTATGTCTCCGTGTGTGTGCTTGTGGAGGGATTTGTAGTCTGTGCAGGTGAGTGTGTCGCCCGTTGGTACAACACATTTAAATGGCCGCAGATCTTAAAGTGGTTTTATTTATACAATTTTATTTTGACATTGTTTGTAACCACGAACATAGCCAGGCTCTCTTTCTTCCTCTGTGCCCCCTCTCTCTGTCTCTCTCTGTCTCTCTCTGTCTCTCTCTCTCTCTCACACACACACAATCTCACTCTCTCTCTCATTCTCTCTCTCTCTATCTCTTTCTCTCTCTTTCTCTCTCTTTCTGGCGCATTGTCTTTCTTTTTTTTCACTCTTTTTTTCTCACACACTCTCTTTTTCATACTCTCTTTCTCACTCTCACTTCCTCTCTGCCTTCCACCCTCTCTCTCTTCTTCCCCCTCTCCCTCTCTTCCACACTCTCTCTTTACCTTTCTACTTCATCAGTCCCTCACTCTCACTTTCTCTCTCTTCTTCTTCCTCTATTTCTCTCTTCCTCACTCTCTCCCTCTCTCTCTCTCTCCCTCTCTCTCTCACACACACACACACGTATACACCCTCTCTCTCTCTCTCTCTCTCTCTCTCTCTCTCTATCTCTCTCTCACTCTCTCTCTATCTCTCTCTCACTCTCTTTCTGGCGCATTTTCTTTCTTTTTTCTCACTCTTTCTTTCTGTCGCACTCTAATTATCCATTCTGTCACTTTTCCCTAACTTATTCTCATTGTCTCTCTTTCTCATGCATACACACACCTAATACGCCTTTCTCTCTCTATTCCCCACTCACTCTCTTTCTCACTTTCTCTCTCTTCTTCACTATTCTTCAGTCTCTTCCTCGATTTCACTTCCTATATCTTTCTTCCCCCCTCTCTCTCTTTCTCTTTCTATCTATTTCTTCCTAACTTCCGTTGTCTCTTTTCATCCTCCTCTCTCTTTTCCTTCCCCTCTCTCCCTTATTGTCTCTCTCTCTTCATCCCCCTCTCTCTCTCTTCATCCCTCTTCCTCCTCCTCCCTCTCTTTTCCTCTCTCTCTCTCTCGCTTCATCACTCTCCCATTTCCTCCCTCTCACCAAATTTCGTTTGTCTAACAACGTTATTCCCAAACTTACCCCCCATACATGCACCTAATATCTCTTTATATGTCCTGTGTACGTCCAGAACGTTGACGACTGTAGACCCCCTCAAATTTCTATCCTTTGTAGCACTCATCAATGTTTGTCACCAACACCTCTCTCTCTCTCTCTCTCTCTCTCTCTCTCTCTCTCAGGCTCGGCTCTGCCATCTATTTGCACAAGCTCATTAGATAGGTTATTCGCTTTTTCCCTCCGCCCCTATCACCTTCAGTATACGCTGTAAGTGTCAAATTCTCTTTCTTCATTATGTATCCTTGAAACTACAACAACCGACCCTTTCCTGATTCTAAGTCTATATTTTTGGTACCATTTTCATCTAACACTTTCGCCCCAGCCCCTCAACCTCCGGCGCCTTACTCTCTGGGTTGAGGTGTCCACTCGGTCCTAACCGAGCTTAAGGGAGTGGCCGTAGATCCCCTGAGCATCCGTAGATTATTCGACCGGTCCACTGGTTTGATCCTGCTTCCTGCCCACGTTGTGTTTGGTTTGATCCAGAAATCAGAAGTGATATTCATCCATTCACGGTCGACTGAAAATGTAGACACGGCTGGGGAGTCTGCGCTAAGAAATTTAGAATGCAGCAAAAAAAAAATTAATATCTGTAGAAAGCCGGACAAACAACTATTTAATGGTTCAATTGATAATGTCTTTTATATAGCAGAAAAGAATAGTAGAGAAAAGAAATGGGTTACAGAAAAGAAAAGTAATTGACGTAAAAACTCATACACTGGATTCTAGACACAGAGAGAGTGGGTTATGATTAACTTGTTGTTAAATCGTCCCAGAACGATATATGACTCTTGCGATGGAGGGATAAAGATTTCTGTGCGGGGCTTAAAGTTATAGTGGCGTTCCTCCTCCCAACGCTTGCTCGGGTCAATTTTCTCTTCTCTCTTCAAGACTTTTTTCCCATCCTGCCTTTTTCAGCATAACTACGCGTTTATATAGATAAACCCGGCTGGTTATAACTGAACCTTAGCCCTACTACTTCGCACGCGATTATCACGGGGTTCTGCCTGCTTCAACCAAAATCATGTGAATTCCAAAGTTCCTTCTAGCTTACTCAGCTCTATTTTAATTTTTAATCGATAAAAATTATTTCGATTATTTCCATTGTCTCTTGTTGACCCAGATTCAATGGGTACAACTTCTGCCGTAGATCAGATTTCCCCATCAGTAAACAAAATGCTCTGATTTAATTTCGCTTTTCAAATCTACGTGTGTGTGTGTGTGTGTGTGTGTGTGTGTGTGTGTGTGTGTGTGTGTGTGTGTGTGTGTGTGTGTGTGTGTGTTTCCCAGACTCTCTCTCTCTCTCTCTGACACATTCATTAAAATTTTCTTATTCTCAGCATTCTTCTGTTGAACCACGTTCCTATTTCATCACGTATCCTCTTCATCTGTGACATTAATATTGCATGGTATTTCAGCATTCTTTTCTTTGTTTCTCACGATTTTTTCCTGTCTCTTTTCTCATCTTTTGTAGCACTTCCAAGATTTCATAGTTCGCATCATGGACTGTTCCTCTTGATAACGCCCATACATTCCGTCTTTTTACAACTGTTAGTCCCTTCTTCTTGCTTTCTTTTACTATTTTGTCAAGGTCAAGGAGGTCATGCAGTCTTCTTTCTGGATCCGACATCAACGCAATGTCATCTACGTATGTTACGACGGTGGGAGGAAAGGTCCATAGGCTGACTGATCACAACATAAAAAATCTGTCATTGTTTGAAGCAGATCCAGCTGGTTTCCTTGGACGTTTCCTTATCCAGGATGAGTGTTGCGTTCATCACCTTGAGCCAGAGACAAAGAGACAATCCATGCAGTGGAAACACCTCTCCTCATCTGAAGAGAAAGTAAAGACCTGAGTATTTTAGGAGAAAAAGCATTGTTTATATTTACTATCTTCAAAAGGGTCACACCATCAATGGAGAGTACTATAACAACTTGCTTTAGTAGTTACCAAAAGCTATCAAATTCCTAAATGGATCTTGTTTCATCAGAAAAATTCTTCAGCACACAAGACGTTAGTTTCAATGACTGCTGTGTTTTACTGCGGCTTTGAACGGGTTGATAACTCTCTTTATTCTTCTGATTTGACTATTAACTGTTCTCCATCAGGGAAACCCATTTGGCTGAGAACCAGTATCGCTGCGCTGATGACGTCATATCTTTTTTGACCAATAGAATGCTGTTTCTTTGAACAGCCAGATGTCAGTTTACCTGAAATAGAGATATTAATAAAAAAAATATCGAAGTTGAAATTAATGCATGCAACATTTCACAGCTCTAGCATCACTCCTTCATAGTCAGCCTGTCAACATTTTCAGCCTACCCTCGTATGTTGTTAAGACTGCGTACTCTAATAATAAATCCTGATAGAACTTCTAGTTCTCGCCTCGCCGTAGAGGGAAAAATCAATCCGATAAGAAAACACATTCATTTATTTTGCGTTTCTTTCTCGTTCTCATTTACATAATTTGTTTTTTGCCCTTTAAATGTTCTCGATTATTCTAATATTTTTCTCAATATGTACAGGGGGCGATGGATAAATTGTCGTCTACATTACCCCTCAAAATGCAAGTAGCACTGACATCACATGTTAACAGATATATTTACGAAAATGTCACCAAAATATACTGAAAGTAAATTTATTCAATAAAATCGCCATTGGCTTCAACCACGCCCCCGCGTTAAAAGGAATTTTGTTGGTCTTTCACCCAACTACGCCCTACACATAATAATCAAGGGGGTTGCAGTGTGAGAGTTAGATGGCCAGATGTAAGGGCTGATGTGGTTGCTGACACTGTCTAACAGCCATGGCTGAATTCTCTTGCTTGTGTGGCATGGTGCAGAGTCCTGTTCTTCTAGCAGCCACCCTCTTGACCCAGAGTAGCACTACCTTCTCAAGGCACTTGATGTCGATCTCCATATTGAGTCTGAGGACCTGTGGAAATATGAATGGAGGAATAACATTGTCAACACTAGTGATTACTCAAAATCCCATGATGTTGTCGATATATCATTCTATTCTTTCCAATTCCTCTTGACACCCAAACTTTCTAAAATGTTTGTCTTGGAGCTTCCGGCGCGAATGCCAAGCAGTACAACATACCGTTTACAAATTTCTGGCAGAGTGAATTGCGTCCTGGTGTTCTTTTTCTCACAGACGGTGCCCAACTGATCCTTGTGCAATCGACAAAATAAAAAAGAAAGAACGCGCATGCGCGAAAAAATAAAATGGCGACAATTTACCATAGCCCCCTGTAAAGTTTTTCTTAGAAGTGTCTTTTTAATCATTTCAACCCAAGCAAGGTGATAAAGCCACTAATACACAGGGGGTTACTGGGGGCGAAAAGAATAAGTAGACTTTAGGGAGATGAAGTGAGGACAATAATGTAACAGGATTGAAGAAGACAGAAGATGGCGACTGACAACGAACTTAATACTTTAATTAGGTGACAGGGAAGCCAGAAATTGTAAGGGAGTTCCACTTTATTTTAAGCGTTTCACCCCAAGCAAGGCAGAAAGCCACTAGCTCGCAAGAGGTTACAGAGAGTTGGAGCGAGAGCAAAGAGGAGTGATAGAGGAAAGGATGAAGAGAAGAATAGGGGGATAGATCAAGGCATCTAGAGACATCGATTGACATTACATTTGAATAGTTGGAGATTATAGCTATCAGGCAAACAGGAAGAGGGAGTTCCACAGGCGGGAGGTGCGAGACATGAAGCTATTGGAGTAGAAAAGACGGCTACGTTTAACAGTTTCGACAGTGAAAGGGTGTGATCGGAGCAGTTACCATGCGAGAAGAAAAGAAACGATTAGAATAGAACAGACGGTTGCATCTAGATAGTTCAACAGTAAAACGGTGAGACCTAATTGCCAATCTAGTAGCAGGCTTTAATTCATACAATCGAGGCAATAAGGAAAAAAACTGAAATAGATCTTTGTCCCGTACATTGTCAAATGCTTTTTGGTAGTCTATAAAACATGCACGGGTCATTCGAAAAGCTCTGTTACTCGTTCTAATAATAATCTGACTATAAAGACATATCTTGTTCCTGTTTCTTTTAAGATTGTTCTTGCCTTGCTATAGATCTAATTCTTCTACGTACTTTATCACAAGAATGCAGATGATAATTTTAATTTTGCGGCCGATTAAGCTGATTGTCCAATGGAGCTCGCATTTATTCGCACCTGATTTCTTATGAAGCGCTGTGAAGACGAGTCTACTAAGACCTTCCGGTATATCACCGTTGTCGTATTATTATTATATCAGTAATCTTTTAAGGCAATACGGACGGAGAAAAACAACGAATAGCCTACTTACTGAGCTTGAGTAAATAGATGGCGGAACAAGCTTAAGGGAATATAACAAAAAAATTATCATAAGCTACAAAGGACATTAAATTGTAGCGAGCCATGATCGCCAACGACTTGAAAAAAAGCATTATCAGTGGTCAGGAATGAATGCAAGGATTATTATATAAGTCTATTTTATACATAATATAAATAGACTGGAAATTATTTTAGCCTGGACATACATTAACTGGCAAGGGGAATGACACTGTCTGTTGTATTTTTTTTAAGCATTTCATCCCAAGCTAGGCGGGAGTGCGACTAGCGCGCAAGGGGTTACAGTGAGTGAAACTAAGAGAAAAGAGGGGTGTTTGAAGAAAGGATAAGAAAAAGGACGGGGTACAAGATCAAGGCATCAAAGGATGTCGATTGACATTACATTTAAATTTTTGAAGATTACAGTTATCAGGGAAGAAAGTAAGAGGAAGGAAGTTCCACTGTCGAGAAATGCAGGAGAAAAAGTTGTTGGAGTAGAAGAGGCGGTTACATTTAACTGTTTCGACAGTAAAATGTTGGGACCGATATGCCAAGCTAGCAGTACGCTTGAATTCATGCAGTTTGGGCACCAGTGAAAATAGCTCGTCAGATCACTTGCCATG